TGTACAGGTAAGGCTTTTAGCCAAGAATCCCGACTTATAGACTGGACCTCTGCAGACGCCATGCGGCAATCCCACCATTCCCATTGCCAAAGTGGGTAATTGAGTCCCGATGTGCATTACCCTTGCTAATTCGATGAGACTCCCCCGCTAAGACCAAACACGTCACGGAATAGTCGAATTTCATACTGACTCATTGGATATCCGTTCCATTACGATGAATAATGAATGAACAGATCGGGGGAATTTTTCCAGAGACACTGAGCAGGGGTCAGTTATCGAAACGATTCGACGGAAACATATCGCCGTTGACGGGGACGGTAAACTGCAGTTTAGCGCTGTTGAACTACACGATGGGAGACCGGTCAGTTCTGAGAAGATTTTCATTTGAGTAAGAAATACCAATCAAATATTCAGAATCTCGTCTATGAATGCGCTGCTAGCTCTCCTGTTCTTCATGGCGAGTATCGATCTGGTGACCATGTACAACTGGAGGTTATACCCAGAGAAGGTGAGCTTTGATTTTCGCCGTTGATTTTGATTATTGGTCTCTGAACTGGCAATTTGTATCTTCAAGAAAGGCCGGCTTGGTTGGAATGCGCCGCGTCTTTGTCTTCCGCCGAATGAATAAAGGAATTTGAATGCTTGTATCATGCAAAATGGATTGCGGAGACCGTTTCTTTTCGTTCAGCCCTCCTCGTAACCAACCCCTACCGGGCGCTGGATTTACAGCACATTTCACAGCACTTCTCCCCCAGGGAGGGGATTGGTGGCGGAAAGGTTCCCGGCAAGAAGTCCCGACCTTGACAACAATTCATACCTGGAGCAAGGAGCTTCTTCTCATTCAGGATCCCGAGCAAGGCAAAATCTCATAGATACTCAGCTCCATTTGGGCTCTCTCATTGTAAGAGCCTACATCCCACTCCTGATACCTGGTGGCGTTCATGTTCGAGATACATTGGTGCTATCGCGAGGTTTGGATTTTTCTACGCGGGGGATCGTATTTTTTGATTTCAGTAAAGAAAACTCGTATTTGGAAAAGAGAGTTCTATTCTGAAGAGTCAAAAGGGAGGTTTTGGGAAATTCCTTCTTTCCAGGTTTCCGAGAATTTCTGATAATTTTTCCATTTCGGGGGTTGTGTCACATCCCCACCCTACTTACTATTTGCGGACTTCTTGGTTTTGAATTAGGAGAAGTTCAACTAATTACAAGTTTGTCAACTCTGGGGACACCATCGATTATTGGAGTCGTGTAAGGAACTTCTCCGAAGGTAGGAGGGATGTCCAAAATCTTTCCAAATGTGATACTTGGTCCTATTACTGTGCACGTGACTACTCTCTATGATCTTGGCATCTATGTATTTGACCAACTCGAAACTTTCGTGCCACGAATGGACGAAAGTTGTTTGTTCTAAGAGACATGACGGCCCGTTTAGCATCTCCAAAGGTAGGGACCTTATTGCAGTACAGTGCTCTTACTGAACAAACTACCATAATAGCCCTATTCTCGAAATCCACTCCTGACCTAATCAATTTCACACTGTACTGTAGCGAAATCCAGTTTCCAATTAGATACTGCTGGCATTCGTAGCTGTAATCGATGTAAGCTGCCCATTTTCGAGCACGTATTAATTGCTATTCTTCTAGAACTTAATGTTCACACGGTGATAGTTCTGTTAGGTTTTCAAGAGCAACATTGGCGGTAACTCAGTAGTGGATTTTGGCACTTAAAGGCAAAAGTCAAGCTCAATGTGGGGGATCGTGGCGATTGGTACTGAGTGTAGAGTTGCGCAATGGAATGGCAGTAGGGAAAAAAACGAAATGAAACCGTCGACAAGGCCTCAAACGGAATCCCCCACTACACTAGCAGTGAAGGAAGCTGGCTTGGAAGTGAGGCACGTTCAAACAAGTTTCCCAACATGCCAACCATTTTATCGGTTGATACGGCACTCAACCCAGCTGATTTCACACGTTATGCTAGCCACGCATCACTTCCGGATGTGGGCGGTGCTGGGTTGGCCGGGCGGCCTTGGGTTGAAATGGAAGTCGCTGGGGGCTTAGCGGCGCATTCCGCGATAGGAGGTTGCTGCAATGTGTGCAGCTGCTCACAGACGACCTCCTGACACCAAAAATACCTCCGAAGAGCGGCTGAGCGCGACCTTTGCCTTTAAAAAGGGAAGAGTAGTTGCTGATATCCACTGCGCTGCTTACCTCGCGTATGACCGCAGGAGTAATTTTCGGTCGTACGCTGTCCATCCCAGAGTTTGGTCACCCTGCGAAAATTGGGGTTACTCTAT